ATCGAGTGATAACCTCATCATTTCCCAAGCCTTTTTTTCAAGATCCTTGATTTCAATCAATATTATTATGCCATAAAAAAAGTACTTTCAAAAATATGTGCACGTTATGTTTTCTCCTATTAGCTCATTTTTACTTGCTTTTCCTTACTTCATCTCTTTATCACTTGCCGTTATAGAGAGATATTTTCATTGCCTTGTCTCGTTTTATACAGAGTGATAGACATAAAGGATAAAAGAAAGTGCTATCCTATATGTGCATTTATACTCATATATCTTATGATTCATATAACAGCCATCATCATCAATAGGCCTCATACATTCAGTTAGTCACTCAAGAGAATTATTTCAACTTGATTGTGTGTGCATTGAATGTGTTATATTTGTGCTGACAACGATGATGATGATGGTGATGTATACATCCAAATACTTTGTCTCATATCATACAAATCTTGTGGATTATCCTGTTATCAAGTTATGACTTAAAAGTTATATATCAAGCATTATACGATAAGCACTTGGTTCTGAAGACATGATTTGTGCACATAACGAGCAATTTCATTCATTTTATAATGATTTTGATTTCTAATTGCATTTTGCAATTCATAATCTTCAATAAAACTTTTCATTATTCTCTCATTGCAATGCATGAAAGATATTAAAGCACACATAATATCTATGCACAAATATTTGCATATGTTTTGAGTCGTGTTTTGCAGTAATAATAATTTTCAGTCTCAGCATTTTATATCATCATTTAAATCAACAAACAAATAAATTTTCCTCAGCTTCAAAATTTTAATAATATTATTCATATTTTTCAGTGTTATTTTATGATAAAAGTTTTCTTTATCGAAATAGTTTTTTATGAGATCTCCAAAAGTTTTTCATTCCTTCCTTCTACACAATCCTTAAACATATCAATTTTGCTATATGCTGTTTGAAAAAAAAGCAACAAATTTCCTTATAAAAAATAATAAAAATCTATGAAGGTTAGAAATCTGTCGTAGATGATTCATTAGTTGTTGAGATGGGACAAATTTAATAAATCATTCGACTTCTGTACCATTGATTCTATAACATAGATATGGATAACAAGGGTTGGAAATGCTGTTCTCAACGACTGATTCTATCAAATTCAATACGCCATCGCCAGAAATTGAAATGGGATCATGAACTTTCATGGTACAGTGGTCAGATAATGTATCTTTTATCTAGATCATGTGAATAAGTTTTGAATTATAGTTTTTAAATAAATTTGTCAAGTTGGTTTATTCTTATTAGTTATTTTGCAAGATAGATTAGGTGGAAGAAGTAAGTCGATGAAAAATCACTCTACTTTTTATTGACCAAAAACTATAAAATTTTCAAACAAATTCTATTGATTCGGATTTGTATTAAATCAACCAGAAGCGTAGCCTATAGGCCATCTTACGTTTGAATCACTAGCCAATGACTATCCAATGGCTAGAGTAGATACCCAAGTTAACCCTAAAATTCTGCTTCTCGGCCCTTCTTTATTGAAATTTGGAATTAAAAATATTTTAAAAAGAATCTGTTAATCAGGCCCTTCACAAAAATTCTGAATTCTTCCGCTCAAATTGTGGATATGGCTCGAATAGCACATCTGTAGTAGGTAGGCCTGAGCATAGGGCTCGCGTTGAACTGGTTATATGTGTATGATGGATAGCTGAAGTTAGAAAAGTATCTCGTTGGTCGAGTGGTTGGGATCTCTGGTCAGAGATTGCCTCTTTTGAGGTCGTGGGTTCGATTCCCATCAAACCCGATTTGTTTTACATATAGTATACACATATGGCAGTTATAGCGAGATCTACACAAATCAAGCCTGTTCAGAGACATCCACAGCATTGGGAGCTCTTGAGTTCATCATCACGATTCATCGATATTTTCAAAATCTTTCACTGGTTAAATAAACTAGAACTAGCTCTCCGCTAGTTTTGAGCATGGATATAAATTTACGAAATAGCAGAAGAAATTTATTTCATTTGAGCAGCAAAAAAGTTTTTGACTTTAATTTTAATCTCATCATCATCGTATGTATGCCATATCATAATTTTAAATACGACATTTATGATTTTTCATGAACATCCCATTAATTTGATTTATTGAGTATGTGAGAGATTTGCAGAAAATACAATTTTTATTTTTATTAATTTGTAAGTCTCCGAGATTTTTTTTCCTCCTCATTTTTATTATCATTTTATGGTGAACACCATTAAAAGTGAACATAAAATAAAAAAAGCATGGAGTTCAGCATTGTATGTAAAGGAAAGAAAATTCATATTCTATAAAAACATAATTGAAATTTAAAAATAAAAATGAGATATATGAGATGTATGAATTACAATTAAGTCATTCGATTTGGGTTATGTCGTGACATGTTCAGAATTTGTAAAACTCACATTTTATACCATAAAAATGCGGAAATAATTTGTCATTAACAAGATAAGAAAAATTTTTGGCACACATTTACTCAAAGAGTATCTAAATAAGGATTTTTTAAAGCACGACAGCAAACATTCATAACAAACGTGACTCAGATTTATTTTAATCACGTGGAATTATTAAGAACGTAAAAATATATCACTTTTGGTTTTTTCGTGCATTTTTACACTCAATGCTTTTTTTTCTTTAACTTTTAAAAATTTAATCTAGCCGTGATTGACAAATATAAAGCTTTATATGAAGATAATAAATTCTCAATAGCTTTTAAATTTTTATTATTTTTTAATAACTTATAAATAAAAGCTATTGAAATCGAGTTTATTATCACACGACTGTTGCAGTCATTGACTTTTGCAACCTATGAGCAGATTATAACTTTCTACAAGTGACAAGTTTGAAACTTTTAATTAATTATTCCTTTGAAAAATATTTTTTTAAAATAATTCAAAACTTTCACAAAATGTGTCATGACTCTGAAACTTTCTGATGATTGAATAATTTTCTCATCATGATTCGAGAATTTATTGAAGTACATAAATATTTTTGGATAAACCTACACGTGCGTTATTTAATAAGTAAATGACCTCAGCTTACCGATCGATTTAAACAAAAAAAAATTAAAAACACAAATTAAACTTTGAAATAAACTCAATTCTACATCAAAATCATTTATTTTAATTTTTAACTTTAATGAATCCGCTTGAATAGATCTACATACAGTAAAATAAAATTAAACATATCTCAAATCATTAAACTAATGCTCAACAATGCAAAAACTTCTAAACCTACCAAAATTTTCTCTCTTAACCATAAACTATGAGGTCGTTAATTTCACTGCACAAATGTTTATTCTTTACAATTTTTTTATGTGAGACTGCTTTTTTAAATTACACAGTAAAGAAGATACTAACCAAAGTATCTTCTCTGTGGCTTTTGAAACTGTTTATAAAAAAGATTACTGTTGGTTGTGTAATGTACCTTGCTTTATGAATATACTTTTTTCTCATTTCTGTCTTCTTCCTTTTGTCTGAACTATGAAAAAAGCTCTCTCTCAGTTTTAAATGAATTAAAAATGTTTTTCATTAGTGAAAGTTTAATAAAGTAAATGTCACTAATTATAATTGAGTTTCTAGCGCATTTTTTTTGCTTGGCGTGAAGATAAACAATAATTTAAACACTCTTGTCCAAAAGCTACCATCAATAATTAAGGAATAGCGGACGAGTAGGATAGGGTTGAAGAGAGTCTTATGACAAGGCACAGCTCGAAGTGTTTTACAAAACATCTAGCGACAAACTGGAGACAATCTTCATCATCTTTAATTGCACAGCTCCAAGAAGCACCTAGGCAAGCTAGAATAAAATTTAAAAATATAAAACTACAAATGAATTTCCAGTTCATAACTGCGAATAAAGATGTAAAAAATATAAATTCACGACTCTTAAATCATGCATTGTTTGACTTATTCAACATTCATGCCGTTATACTGTATTCAATATAAACTAATCATAAACAGTTTGAGGAAATACAATTTTCAATGAATATTTTATTGTTACAGTCTTTTTTTAATAATTCAAAACATCCAATCTAAAATAAAATACAGAACAATTTGCTTAACAAAACAGGAATGTATTAAAAATCAATAGAATGGTTGTAAAAAAAAGAGAGAAGAAAAGGGAGGAAAAAAAATTATGGCAAAATACAGGAAACAGGAAATTACATTACAATTTCATAACAGCAAAAATTAAGATAAAAGATGCATGAATTTTTCATTGTACAAAGTGAGTTTATAGCAACAATAACAATAGCAGCTGTTTATTGACAGTAGGGATTGACGAGGGTTGTGTCTTCGTAAACCAATTTACCATCCCAGGAAGTACTGTGAAAAGGAGGTGTCAAAAGTTGTTGGAATTCTTGGAAAATGTAATCAAAATATTATTAAAGATGTGAATTTTATGATCGAGGAAGTGAATAAACATTTTCGATGTAAAAATTTATTAAATCCTCTGCAAGGTAAATAGCTACACGAAAATTTTAGTGAAGCACATTCAGGTGTGCAGTCTGCTGATGCTCATTACTGAAATTGTTCAACTTTGCAATTGCCTGAATTTTGATCACTAAAGATATCATAAAAATAAAAATAAATGAAACTAAACTACTAAAGCCATGACACTTAAAATTTTACCATCAATTAGTAAACCTAATAATGGAAATTAAGAGTTGATTTTAAAAAAACGTGCATAGAATTTAAATAAAAGCATTTAAAATTTCACTGAAAAATCCATTAAAAAGTCATATAAAAAAACGAACGACTTAAATGGATCTTTCATTAATTATTTTTATTTTAATTTAAAGGATCACAAGGTTAAGATTAGAAATTGTGACTAGATCTTCCAAAATTCCTGTTTAGGTAAAAAAAATTGAAGAAAATAATTTTAAACCATTTCAAAATCTTTATTCTTTATCACATAAATACTTGTACAATCATTTGTATCTTAAGTTCCATTCATCAACTAAATTGTATAAAATGTATAAAAAATTAAATTTCTGCCACTTTCCTCTTCTTTCTATCTAATTTAAAGTTTTGCAAATGATTATCAACAACTTTTGATTCATCATCTTCTTCTTCATCATCATCATGATATATATTTGCAATAATTAAGTCCAAAACTTGTTTCATGATGACTTTCATTGCTCTCCTAAAAAAATATTGCTAAATTTCAATTTTCAATCTTAAATTTTTATTGAGATGATTCAGAAACTGAACTTAAATATTTTTGAATGAGCAAAAGTTGATCTGAATTTTCCAAATTTTATTGCATCTTGATAAAAATAATACACTTACTTTTGTGACTTGTATTCTTCCAATTTCTCCAAAATTTCAGCAATCCGATTTGCAGAAATCATCAACTGTACATCACATGGCAAGGCAGACTCATTTACTGGTGGCGCAAGCGTTGATAATCCTGAAAGAACTTAAGATTTACTTGCAATTGTATTTTATAATTAAATTTAATTATGAAAGGGGTTCTAGGACTATGTAACAGCTCAAACAAAGGAAAAATAAATCGATCCAAAATAGGGTTTTCAATCCCGGGATTAAAATGTACTGAATCCCGGGTTTGATCCCGGGATTACATACATTTCAATCCCGGGATTGAAAACCCTAATCCAAAATATGTAACGTGGTTAAAAAGTTGTTTTTTGGATTTGATAGATTTGTGACATTAATTCTTAAGTTATTGACTCATTAAGTCAAATTCAAGACTAGAAGCTAGCTATACTTAGTAGGAACTAGTAGCTAGTAGGACCTGGTAGGACTTAGTAGCTTGTTGTGTCTAGTAATTAGAAGTACCAAGCAGTACCTAATAGCTAGTTGTATTCAGTAGCCAGTTGTGCCTAATAGCTAGTAGCTAGGTGTATAAAGTTTATATTATCCTCAAAAAATAAATCAACAAAATCTAAAGCAAGAAGTTCAAATTCAAATTTATACAATCATCATTATTAAGTTCAAACAATAATAATTGAACTTTTCAAATAACTTTTAAAACTGAATTAATTGTTTTGTATTATTTTTCAGAAAATTTGTCATTATTTTTAAATCTAACCATTAGGTCCTTTACCACGATCAACATCACCGTACACAAAAATCAGCACAGTGCTGACAACAACAGTTATTGTGAGGAAATATTTCATTTTTCACTTTTCCTTTCCAGCTTTTAACAAGTTTGACGACAAAAGCTCAACTGCGAACGAAAAAATTGTATTCCTGTATTTTTAATTTCTTTATTGTCCGAAAGTTCATTGTTTTAAATATTCGCCTGTGCACGATTTTAAAAGAAATTAAATTTAAATGCCTTGACTATCGAGACATTTATGGGAACAATGTTTATAAAAGAATTTTATAGCTAAGTATATAGTTTTGTAATAAATAATAATAAGAATGTTTGAAAACTTTTCATGTAAATATTATGCTCCGCTTCACTTAAACCTCTCTCTAGAGGGTTGTTAGGGAGCTTATTATCATATTATTCCAGCGATATGTGAGCTTAATTGAAATGTTTGAAAATTAGATTTTACATGAGACATTGAATGTGAAATATCGTTGATATGAAAGCACTCTAGCGTCACATTTATTATTAATGCGAGTTTGTGATGGTAGTTTACAGGGTTTTTTTTATCAATAACTGATTATGTGTTCCCAATATTTATAAATTTTCAACCATTTCCTCAAACATTTATGAAGATCTGCCGCATTTGAGAGCATTATCATATTTTATATGAGCCCAATCATACGCTGAGGATTTTGCATATATTTAACCTATTGTTGTGAATCTACCTCAATATAAACACACGCATGCATTACCATATGAAGATGACCGATGAGTTTTGCATAAATCATTCTAATAATTTCAAATAAACTCAAATATTTATCGAATTTGAATTGATCTAAAATCAATAGAGTGAGAGAAAAACTTAAACAACAAATCAAATTTATATGCACAACTATTGAAATTTAAATATTGATTTAAATGCCTTTGTGCACACTCATGGATTTACTGGTAATTTTATTATTGATTGTTTAAATGCTCATGGTTACTTCATGTCTGAGTAAACTCTAGTTATCGAATAAAATAAATTATAATTTGTTTATGTGAAGTGTTTAAATTGTTCCAATTAATAAGGTGGGATCAGTGAATTGGGGTCAAGGAACTTTAATAGTTATACCTATAATACTAATTAACGTTTATTCATGCAATTCTAATGGATGTTTATCATGCAGATAATTAAAATATAGAGCAGAAAAAACATAGATTACGGTTGAAAATAGAAGAATAAGAGTCTAGTGACATCATCAACATATAATAGTTTTAGTGGGTATTAGTTAAAGTATTCAAGCTTTTTATAAATAAAAATAAATCAAATTCATTACTTTACAAACCAAATATTAAACTTTTCCATGAATTGATATTTTTAATTCAAGTGGCATGTGTAAAATTTTGAAAATAATCTTATCAAATTTCCTCTTTCGTAAAACTTATGATAATTTACAATTTCCACGAATTGAATATTTTCTTCTTTAATTTGACACTTCCTTGATGCCAATAAAAATTCAAAAACTTTAATAACAAGAATTATTTCTTCATGCTTTCCATCTCCTACGAAACTATGAAATATATTCATAGATAGGAACTGTATGCTTGCTTCAAGCACAAAAGTATCACAATTGAATTTTACATTATGAATTTTCTTTACTCTAAGCTTAACAATAGTTTTTTTTTTCCTGTAAATTTGTCTTGACACTATATTTTCAAAAAGCTGAATTGAATGGATGAAAGGCAAGGAAAAGTTTCTAACACCTCAACGAACAAAAAAATTCTCTCACTTGCACCAGAAAGATGTAACAAGAAAGTTTCTTTTTGTGTTTTACTTCTGGAATCTGAGAGAATAAAATAAAAACTTTTTTTTTTCAATGTTAAGATAGAAAAAGAAAGAAAAAACGGATTTAATTAAATTAAGTTCTATGCCTTGTTCATGCTCATAAAGCGTTTGTTCATCGTCTCTTGTGATTGTGTAAACTTTGGTTTTTTACTTTACGCTATTACACAACATGTTATTAAGAGAAAAGCTATTTTTGTAACAATGAAGGTAAAATTCTATTTGCTTGCTATAAAATTTGCTTACTTTGCAGGGATTTGGATTTGAGAGATCACAAAATTCAAATAAATGTAATTGGATGAGATTTAATATTTATTTTGGATTTCTTGTAAACAATTATATTTGAAGCTAATGATTCGAAGTCACAAAAAGGAAAGGGAGAGGGGGGGGGGGGGTGTAGGTCATTAAATCATGTTTTTGACGGAAGTCCAGAAATAAAATATTTTTAAAATGTTAAAAATAAAGTCATAAATTTAGATATTAAAGTGTCTACCTAGCAACTTCTAATGTAGTTTGCTTACAAGTCAGACCGATAGTTGAGTTTTGCAGACATATTTTATGTGACACTCCCGTTTTAGCTGACGATCTTGTCATTTTCCCTATGAATTTCAAAGTTATTTTTTATTAAATTTAATATTTCTGTTAAATTGACTCATCGTCATCGTGTATGAGCATGTAGTTGTTTGCTAATTAAATTATCTATGAATGTATATAGGCAAAATTGGGTTTGTTGGTAAAATTGTTGGAATGAAAATTAGAAAGAATTATTTTTGTGAAAATTCTTCACCTTTCCTCGTTTTTCAGTCCATGAATTATTTATAATACGGATCTGAAACTTTCTCCCCATTTCCTTAGTTGAAAGCGTGAAAAAATATTCATTAATACTCATTCCTTTCTTACCAAGTCATTCGCTTTCGTAGCTTAGGCTTCCGGAACGACGTTCCTTTTTCTTCGTTTTTCTCTTTTCTCATTATTAACACTGCTATTATATTTTTGCGGCGATAGAAAAGTTATGTAAGATGATAATGAAATATAAATTGGTTAAATTACAAAAGTGTTTAATTAAATTTTTGAAAGTGAAAAAGAAAAACTTTTTAATTTATTGAAAAGGAGTCGAAATTTATTTTTGTTTGTTGAGTAAGAAGAATATTAAAATACACAAAGTTCATTACATTGTTTACCGAAATATTATATAAATCTTGATTTTAGTGATTATCATAAGCCATTGTGGGAGGTTCGTTAGTATCATTTCATTATTGAAAGGTTTTATGATGATGGATTTAGAACTGTTTGCGAAGGACTTCAAATAACATTATTTTCAATTAAAATTAAGACTGAAAGTAAGCTTTAAAACTTCTCATATTTGAAATAATGGTTTCAACTCGTTTTGTTTTGTTTCACTCAATGATGTTGTTTAATTAAGGGCTGTAGAGCTAATTTAGGATCCATACAAGCTTTATATTCTACATAAGCATGTCGCAAAAATGGAATAAAAATCATACATTAACTTTGAGACTCCTCAATTCTTTTGAAAATTAAGTGTTGTTGAAATTAACTCAGGGGTCGTTCACTTATGACGTCCGAAATTAACGGTCATTTTTCAAAAAAGAATAATGAATTTCCAGGAATTTCTATTGTTCTTTTCTCGCCCCCCCCCCCCTTCCCCCCTGGACGTCATAAGTGAACGGCTCCTCATACAAACCACTCTTTCTACCTTTTCCCATTCTCTCTGGTGACTGGTTCTGATTTTTTAAAAAAAAATCCTTTTGCTGGTAAAAATGATTTCAATTGAAATAATATCATGGTTAAATAAAGCTGTATCAAAACGTTCCAAATAATGCCTCAATAATTCTCGGAAGAGCATTATGTCAAATAGCAAAATGGTCCATTTTAACCATGGCTTCAAGTGAGTCTTTTTTTGTTCAGAAAAATTCAATATTTAAACTGCGACAACTCATTCAATACTCAGAATTAATTCCAATAAATACCCTCAAACATTGAATGAAAAAATAAATATAAAAGGAAAGATTTTTCTTGATGAAAGTATATAGCATGTTGAATATCATGACGCCATTTCACAGTAAATTTGCGTTAGAGAAATGAAATAAATATCAATGTTGAATAATGTATAAGGCTCCTTTCATTTCAAAAACATTTTTGTCAGTTTTAAAAGTTTAAAGCAACAACAAAAAAGCATGAAAATGTGTAATTCGTACATAAGCACATTTCAAACGTCAAAAAGTCTGAAATTTCTTACAAAGGTAAGATATTTTAATGTTTTATCAATGTCACTTTATCTAAAAAGATAAATTTTAACGCAAAACTTCAAAAATGTATCCTATTACCGTTTTCAAAAACCTCAAGAATAAAAACTGAAAACTTTAAAAATTCCACCTTTTTGTTGCTAATGTGAATATTTTCTTTTCAACGAGCTTAAAATATCATTTTAATGGGATTTTGGCGAGACAACAAAACAGTGAAATTTAGAATAATGCTTTCGAAATTACAAAACGATTGTTTAATTAAAAATAATCTCACATAGAAACGTATCATGAGGTGGAAATTAAAGAATCTTGTTGTCATGTCATTTTGTAAATTGACTGTAAATTGTGTAAAATAAGGGTTTTTAAATAAAGATGCTTTCATTTCAATTAAAATAATGAGTGAATTCTAATTCTTTATTTTTCTTAATTTTCAACATTTTTCCAAACAGGTAGTATATAGTGGCAGTTATTGCTGTTGACCAAACACATTTCAATTTATAAACTTATCATTTATTAATTAAATGTATAATCATTGTAAACAAATATTTCAAAACAATTATCCAGTTTTAAGCTCTCAACAAAAATCAACACTGGATGTTGATTAAGTTGTTATTGAGATTGTATTTTATAAATTTGTCAACTAAAAAAGTTTATAAAAGCTTAGGATTTGTAAAAATGATTTGATTCTCATTGCCTCATCTAAACCTCAAAGTTTTGTAATGAGATCTGTTAGAACCTACCAAATTTATGAAAATCTCATGACACTAATCATATAAAAAGCAGTAATTTACAAACAATAATCATATTGCTTTTTGAAGTTATTGAGAAGCATCAAGTAAACTGCAGAAGAAATTAAAAAGGATATATAACTGAAATTCTTATAGTAAATATAAATACATCAAATCAAAATGAATGATTTTATTGAACAACGACAACAGCTTAGTTGGAGGAAATTCGGTACCGATGAAAATTTAACTGACCAAATGGATACTGGAGACGATTTGACATGTATTGATACGGATTCTTTATTTTCTAAAAGAGCTAAAGGAAACAACAGGAACAAAAAGCAGCCATTTGTTAAAGCTAAAAAGACAAAATCAAATAATGAAGATTTTAATGCAGTTAAAATTGCTATTGAAAATAATGTTAAAATTGATGACAAGTTTTATTCGGAGCATCTCCAAAAAGTTAAATATCGGAAAGGAATATCAAAGAGACCTCAAACAGTAAAAGTTGTCAAACGAAAAATTGAAGAAGACACATTTGTTCCTTTGTCAATTGATAATTGTTTGATAAAAGAATTAGAGCGATTATTTGGATATGGTAGATCAGTCTTGAAAGATGTTTCTGAGCAGCATACGACCAATTTGTTCATTAAATCATCAACTGCTAAACAACTTTACAACGAGATTCTAGAAACATTTTACAGTCATCAAGAAGAAGCTAAGATAAAAGATATTGAAAGTGATCATAAATTGACAATGAAGTTGCGTGAACGAGAAAAACCAAACAAATATTCTGAAACAAATGGAAACAGTCTTGACGAATGGGAACAAGTTGAAAAACCTTATACATTGGCGGAAAAGTTAAACAAAGAAAAACTAAATCGAATATTTTCGAATGTTGAAAATGACATCATTGATAAGATTTTTGAAGTTCAAGGCAGAAATTTTAAAAATGCAACGGAATTAATTCAAGATAGTTTAGAGTACACACAAGAACAACGTATGCGAGTCAAAGAGGAAATAGAAAATAGTGCCAAATTTAATACAGAAAATGACAAAGAAAACAACGAAAACAATGCTTGTCTAAAGAAAGTAAAAGATCTACAGCATGAAATTGGTCGACATTCAGAGACATTTACGCATTGTTTACAGCAATCACAAGATCACACATCTAAAGAGGAGTTCCATATTGCTTCATATTACACAAGTATGCTAAATTTACATAAGCAATTGTGTGACGAGAAACGTCAAGAACTGATGATTATATCAATGAATTTATTAATTGATGCATCGAGCTTAAGTTTAGATTTACATTATTTAACACAAAAAGTAGCAAAGAACCAATTACACACATTTTTGGATGCACACATATCAAAGTTGAGAAAAATTGAGGATCAAAATATTGAACTCGAAATAATCACAGGACGAGGCAATCATTCCGTCAATGGTCCAGTTCTTAAAGATATGGCAATTAAGCTGTTGAACGAACGATTCTTAATATTTATCGAAGGCAATCCCGGAATGTTGATAGTCAAAGTATTACCAAGTTCATTTCTTTATGAAGAATGCCAAAGATTAACGAAATACCAAAACCTGAGTTGTTACTAGCTTTTAGATTGTAAGATTGTAAATTGAAAAATAAATAACTTTTTGATAACTGTTATCAATGTCTTTTTATTGGATTAATATCAAGCTTAGATTTAAACATTGAATACTTTCAGCATGAATTTAAAAGCAATCTGTAAGGACATCCTTCACTCAATTCATATTTCATAGATTTTTTCAAACGAATAATTCTTTAAATTGAAACTTCATCATTTTTATCTTTTCATTGTTTGATTGTGTTAAAATACCTCGAGATACTTTTATTTTAACACAATATCACAAGGAATGACATTTTTATCATTCACTTTCTGATTCTTTCTTTCATTATTCTCTCTTTATTTTGCTTGTTTAAAATAAAAATGAATGAATGAAAAAAAATTGTGACAAACTGATGGCATTGAGGGAGCAGGGGAAAAAAAATTGAAAGAGTAAAAAATTCATTTGCAAAGATGCTTGTCGACGAGCCATTATTTTATGCCACTATTCAGTCATGCTAGGAGTGAGAGAGAATATTTAATAGAATCATCTTTCACTTCATTTTTCCCTCATAATTTTTTTTTCTTTTCTGCTTTTGGTATACATCCTCTATTTATTCTTTTTTTTATTATCAAATACCTTTCATTCTCTATAAAAGCAGGAGAATATTTACTTTTATCGCATGCAGTAAATGCTGAACAAAAAAAAAGGAAGAAAATTAAATAGTTTGCAGAGAGTGCAAATATAATGAAATTTTTGCTTCATAACATCAAGTCTTTTGTGACTAATTGATATGGAAATGGAACTTAATGACTTTAATGAGGAAAATTTTCTTTTCAAATTATGCACCATATACAAACTAAGGTACTCAGTAAAGCGCTTATTTCAATAGAAAATTATTTACAAACACAAAATATTCATTGAAATATAAAAATAAGGAAGTCCCATCAGAGACGTAACTCAAACACAAATGACATGAACAACATTTCAAAAGAAGACTTCACACAAGATGAGAAAAGGGTTAAATTTACTCTTGTTTTGTGATAGACATTATTATGTGTTTTCTTCTACATGAAGACACATAGACATGCTGACAATCTTCATCATTCTCTTGAGATGTAAATTTACAACCTTATTACCAATTTTTCTGAATTTTTCACCTCACTGTCATGATGATCAAGATTTAAAGTGAATAATTTTGAGTTTTAAATTAAATAAATTAAAGTTGTCTGTTTCTATGGTTTTAAGGTAATAAAGTACGTAAATACTCAATAAATCAGATCATATCATCCCGAGTGACAATCGAGACTCTATCGATGTGATTAAGACGTCTTTACGATTTTTGGATGAGCCACGGCTTAACTAATTTACCTTAATGATGATATTTAACATTAAAAATGGAAGTTTTTGTCCACTTTCCCTAAATCTAATTAAAGCAAAATCCTACATCCCCAGCTATATACCCCATCCATAATACGCAACCACGTAAACGATTTGATGTTCATTGCCATCTCGGAATGTCTGTATTAATAATCAATCGAAAATGAAATCAATGGGATCATCAGTAAATAATACAGCATTGCATTCATTCATTTGTATCTCGTTTGAATATTCCACGAATTTACTTTTTCAAATGAATTGATTTTTTTTTTCACAATTAAAAAGTCGTGCCTTAATTACAATTTTATCAATTCATTCAATAAAACCTGTTTGAATTGCTGAAATATTCTGAAAATTAAATAATTACTCATTTTTTTTCGTTTTGAGCTCACAGAACAAATACAAGGAATATGAAAATCATCCATGTGAACACATATTTACTCACATTACACATTGTATGCAACACAGAACTATCGCAGGTGGTCATTATTCCTAGAGCTTGGAGGATTGTAGCTCCAACAATTTTATGGATTTTAACACGACATGATATTCCCAACATGGTGCCATTGAATGTTTATATATATAGTATATAGAGATAGACATATGCTACTTACTACTTTTTCAATGTCCCCAAATGTCGTATAAAAGAGTAACGACAATAGTTAGCAACACCCTAATTACACGTTACTACACTGACCGACTGCATTCAATTAAAATTAATTTCTCCCATGATATGATGGTGGGACAATCAGATGAAACGAAGGAGATGAGCACAATCAAAAAAGTGTTCATTATGAAGTGGAAAGGTTGATCTAATTTTTCATCACATGACTGCTTATACAATCGTGGCTTCGTTTCATCCTTTTCTCATTCTCTTTTATACTGATTTCCATAAAGTTCAGTCGTACCGAATTGCAAACAATATTAGACCTCAGCAGCAAATATTTAGCTCCGTATGTAAATATGCATGAATTAGTTTCGGAAAATTTCTATATGAGCAGTTTTCAAACTCTGAAATTTAATGAACATACATGAGAAATCTCACAAATATGAAAAACTGATTTCTGCTCCTTTACATTGTTGTACATTGTGGAATGAGAATTATTGTGATATATACAAACGTTAGCTTACATTTATTTCCAAGGATATTTGTATATGCTTGTGCAGAAATGCTAATTAATTTTTCGTGATGTGATATTCTGCAACAAAGTAAATGTTGCAATTTTAACTCATTTAATTCACCACCTTTGTGTCTCCTTTTTCATATTTTTACATGTATATCCATTTTTTATTTTCAAAACTCACGAACGAAGGTTTGTTATGAGCACATACTGCAGTATTGCATAAATTTTCATTCCACATTACAAGGATGAAAGCGAACATGAAAAAAGCTAGTGGTTAAAAGATAAAGGCAGCACTAAATGTTCAAAATTTAATTTTTTACTATTCAGCATGGTGAAAATGAAGAGTAGCGACAAGTTGCTTTGGTCATTTTGCACCCTTTTATCTATTCTGAATATTTCTTTTTTTGTGTGGCTCTGCTCTATAAAATGACCAGCAAAGAGATATGATCTGACAAAATATTATGTCATTTTTCCTAGAATTTTTTTATTCTTAGCTTTTTCATTTTGTATGTCTAACATGTGAATGTGTCATAAAATTTTGGTTTGTTCCATATGAAAATGAGTGGATCCAAGTAAACCCGAAGTACATTGGAATTTCTTAAATAAAGTCCTTTGCAAAACTTATGTTTAAGCAAAACAAAATTCAATTTCATGTTCACACCGAACATTAATTTATAAAATTTCTAGTAAAGAGTAGAGTTCGAATCTCAATGGCTTTACTAATAGTTTGCCCTTGTGTATGATTTCTTTTTTTTTAAATTTAATATTTTTATCTTGAAGTCATTCTTTTTGAGCATTTCCATTAAGCAGTATATGGCGATACAAAGATATCAATCGGTTAACTATTCGCTATTCTATATTGAAGAATATTCCAAATTCTCACTCTAAACAGACCATAGATAACAATTTCTATATATTTCATTCACGAAATTCTTTTGTTGTTCCACATAATTGAAATATGTCGCTACTGCAATGTCTATATGATGCCATAAAATGTATCAATCATCATTCTGCTTCTATTCATGTATTTGAAAATTTTATGTTTTACACAAAAGTCAATGGATGTCGTAAATGTCTTTTTTGAGGTATTAACTTTTTTATCAAAGAAATTTTGTCTGTATATTGAAAGCAACTTACATGTAATCCTCAATTCTTAATTTCATTTACAGATCTATGCTTTAATATTCTGTAATTAACATTTTCACTTTCAGTAGCAATGGCAACATATTACGAATAGTTACGGTGTCTATAGATACTCTTATTAATTTGTTTGCATTACCACTTTATTAATAATTTAATAAGTAATTCAATTCAATAAGATGAATAACAATAAATGACTTATTATGCAAATCAATTGTTTATAGTCATTGCTAGTCAAACCTTTTGAGTTCTTTGTTATTCTGAAATATTTAAAAAGTGCAATGTTCAACATGAAAAGTTAAAATGTCAAGGATAAGAGCATATGCAGAACGAAAATTAATAAACTTCTGTTTTAAGCACGTGTGTTCGACTCTTAGCAGATGCTGATAGGTCATTTTAAATAATGTTGTCGATGCGACACATATTCACACAAAGGACACGACATTCCTGTCAAAAAAATGAATTCCTTCAAAAACAAAATCATCGACACCTCCTGAATGAACACAAAATATGTTAAATGAGCGACAAGCACAATAAAGTTAGCAAATGTGACTAAGGAAGAATGGGGAACAAAATGTAGAGAAACTTCATTAACAGGATTCTCTTTCATTGTACACTTCTTGTTCGTTTAACATCTCATTCATGTTTGGCATAATAACAAATCGTCAAATTTATGATGAAGGCATAAAATTATTTTATTTACCTATAATATTGTTATGCTTTTATGTGCGCAAACTTTAAAAAGCGAACGAGAAGGAAGAAAAGAAAAACTAAGCAAAGTGAACAGCATCACATTTTATTTAATGTTTTTCGACTGTATTTTTGCTTATTTCTGCTGAAGCTTTTAAAAATGCCTTTCTCTTTTTTATGAATTCACATTTTCCGTATTGCTCTTATAAGATGAACGAGAAGGAGAAAAACAGCAAAAAAACAAGATTTGCATACGTGCCAGACACGAGCTTTTTTTTAACTTTTCCTTTGCTTTATTTCCATCCTCTCAGCCAAATTATTTCCACATTCATATGCAAACAATTTTATACTTTCTAGAGAGAAAAACCTGAATGCTACTTTAGGCCACACAAAAAAAATGTTGCTTGCTATTTTTGTGATTATAAACAATCCACCGACATGCTCAGGTTAGAGCGCGTAAAATGAAAGGAAAAATTGTACAATAAAAAATTTTTTATGGTGCTTGTTTATGATATATTTTTAGTTTTTCTGTATTTTGGAGATGTCTGGTTTTATTAAAATGAATTTTTTGTAATATAAAAATTGTCAGTAATCCTTTAAAGCAGAGCTAATTTAAACAGCAACATATTTTTGTACAAGTTTTCTTTTTGCATCGAATATTTTGGATTACGTAAAGAAATTTTTGGATTATTTACTTGTCATTGTTTGCATCAGCAGCGTAGCCAAGAATTTTGAAATTTAGGAAAAT